ATGTTGAGAGTCTATGTCTAGGCTTGTATTAAGGCATCCTCCCAGGAGACAAAAGGCCCTTGAAGCACCGCTAGCCTTAGGCCTTTCTAGCAACAAAAAAATGTCCTTTTTTTTTTCTACTCTACATGCCAAACAGAGAGGCCTCTTTGTGCTGGATGCAGCCGAACTCCATTGGCAGCATTGGTGGGAGTGTGCTGTTCTCTGTACTTTACAAGCTAGCACTTGTCTGCCTTTTATATGTGTGTCACTCTTGTCTGCCTATATTACCTGACACTCTAGACCATAGTAAATGGTCATATTTGTAATGTGTGAAGATACAATTTTATTTTTAGGAATAACAGTGCGTTCTTCTTTCCTCAAAGTAATCCCAACTCTATCATCCTTCTTTTCCCATATCCTGGGATTTGACCATATCTCTTAGAAATAGTTTCTCTTTTCCTTCCAATGTAAATCTAGTGTGGGAACTAGGAATTTAGCCAAGTAGTGACTGAACACCCTTTGCCTAAGCCTCCAGTCTATTGTCTTCTAGGATGCAGTCATTGAGCATACCATACCTGCCTTATTTCCTTCCCCTACCACCTTTCTTGTCTCACCTCCTGTGCCTCTGCATGTAATCTAATCTATCTTCAAAGTCAATCAGCATCAGAACTTTCCTCCTGAGCTCCAGCATCTTCCTGAGGACATTTTGCTTTTAACTTTGTTTCATGCATGATGTCTTCCTGGCTGGCTGTTTTGTATCATGTACCGAACTTCTCTGTGACAAAAATAGGAGAATGAAGTGACTGGTCCAAATTTTCCAACTTTTGTAGATTATGTGAGCTTAGGTTGACCGAAGCAACCTAAGATATAAGGCATGCCTGTATGAGGAATGTCTGTTTTTTTGACAAACATTTCAGAAGTTACCCATCTACATGAACTGAATATTTTTAGAGATGTTGTTTGGAGGCCCACAGTTAGAACATTTCTGGAACTCCTCATTTAGGTTAGTTATTTTTGAGTAAATTCTTATTGATGCCCCTGTGTATTAAGCTTTTATATTAGAAATAGTGAATAAGCAAAAATGAATAGACTGTGGTTCATAAGCCTTCAATGTTTCCGGACCATTAAAGGGAAACTAGACAACATCTGACAAAAGATAGTTTTTGGTAAAGATGTGGATCCTACAAGAGGAGAGTGATGAATCTCACCATATTATTCTGCCTCTAAAAATTTTTTTGGCTTTTTAGTGCTCACAGCAGTGGTTTTCAAATTTGAGAAATGTACATATTTCTTATGGGGAAAACAATTTATATTAGCAGTGCTGACTTAAATTATTTTTGTTTGGTTATTTAAATATATAAAAACATAATGAAGTTTAAGTTGCTGTATTAAATTTGTAACAAATATAAATAAAACAGATTTATACTTTTAAGTAAAAATAAGCTCTAAATTTAATGAAATGGTACCTTTTTGCAGCAACTGTACATGCCAAACTTTCAGTTGCTCCCAGACTCTTTAGTTCATCATTGTCTGTATTATTAGGTGCCACCTGATGACTCATTCCTCCCACTATTTTTCACCATTTCAGCTACTGCAAACTTTGATGTGTATAAAATATCATGATCTCATTTGACTTCATTTGAATGTATTCCCTGTGTATTAATTCCACTTCAGTTCCTTTACATAGTAATTGACTTTTGACAAAGTAGAGAGTTAAATTTGTTTTCTTTATGTCTAAATACCACACAAATATCAAAATTATTTTAAAAGAATAATTTTTATAATTATCCATTAAAAAATTGCAACATTATATTAAGGGACAATTAGCTGTTATCTCCAGGTATAATGAAGATGTGGTTTGCCATGTTGCAAATGATCAATATTTATTTCAGTTAGAATTGGCTTCTATTATGACAAAAAAATCCTCTCAATCTGATATAAGCAAAAGGGGAAAATTTACTTATTGTCCCCAAATTGAAATATTATAAATAGGACTGTTCTGACTTAGGGTTTGGATGATGTCATCTGGATTCACCTCTTGGTTCAGCTTTGCCTCTCAATGAAGGCTTTCAGCAGCATCAGGGAGGAGAGATAGATGGATAGATATAGATAGATCGTAATAGCTTAGAACACCATTTGTGGAGCCAGTCTACCTGAGACTAAATCTTGGCTTTACCAATTCTTAGTTGTATAACTTCGGGAAAGTTATATAATCTTTCTGTGTCTCAGTTTTATCATCTTTAAAATGAGAATGGTGATGGTAAAGATTAATGAGTTAATATATCTGAGGTGCTTAGAATAGTACCACGATAAGTGATGCTGTATATTAATATTATTATTATCAATATTATAGTTTGGGATCATTTCATACAAGATGTCAGTAGGGTAGAAAAGCAAATCTATTCCCTATGGGCCAAATAAAAATCCTAGTTTTTAGTTTCTTCAACTTCAAGTTGGGTTAAGTGCTCATTTCTGAATTCAGCGCTCTGGACAAGAGGATGGACTATATTACATTAATTGACTTAACATGGCTTATATTCTTTTTTAAATTTTTTTTGAGAGAGAGAGAGAGAGAGAGAGAGAGAGAGAGAGAGAGAGAGAGAATTTTAATATTTATTTTTTAGTTTTCGGCGGACACAACATCTTTGTTTGTATGTGGTGCTGAGGATCGAACCCGGGCTGCACGCATGCCAGGCAAGCGTGCTACCACTTGAGCCACATCCCCAGCCCTTTAAAATATTTTTTAGTTGTAGGTGGACACAATGCCTTTATTTTGTTTATTTATTTTTTATGTGGTGCTGAGAATCGAACCCAGAGCCTCGCACGTGCTAGATGGGCACTGTACTGCTGAGCCACAACTCCAGCCCCACGTGGTTTATATTCTTTATGCCTACCAGTTGATTTAGCTTTGCCTGAATCATATTACCTGAGAGCAAGTGGTGATTTTCCTAATTCAAATTCAGAGTACTATTGCCACCAACAGGAGAAGTGGATGCTTGGTTGTAAAAATGACCCATATTTATTATGACCTATCAAATAGATCAATCATATTAGGTGATCATGTGATGTTATGACAATCTCTCTGGGTACAGTTCTTGGCAATTTATATTGAGTAGTGGAACATTTATCTTGAAAATTTGAATTATAGTTAAGAAAATATATTTTATATAAAAATATCGGTTTTTGTCTCTAGGTTATTTTGTGTTACAAACCTAAATTTGAGGCATATTGATAATTGATTTAAAGCACATATGTAATAAAATTCCAGGCAAATATCTTCTAGCTATTTTGCTTTAACACAATTATGAACACAAATGCTATGTGGTTAATGAAGTTGAAAGCCTGTACTCTTACATATATAGATAATCCAAACTATATTTTTGTTTTTTAATTTAAGATTATCTTCAAAATAAAAATATAAAATTGAAACATTCTAATAGTAAATTATCTTGACCTGTGCTATTCAATAGAGCTTTTTTTTTTTAAATAATGGAAATTATATATATTCTGTGTTGTTCAACATGGTAGCCACTAGTCACTTCTAGCTATTAGGCATTTGAAGGGTGGCTAGTGCTGTTGAGGAACTGAATTTTTAATTTTATCCAAGTTTAGTAAGTTTATATTCAAGTCAGCACTTGTGGCTACTAGTTATTACTTGAACAGCACAGCCCTGAATAGCATCATTGAATAAGAGAATAGATACAAAGTGCGTAACATGTTTTATAAAAAATGCATAAAAGATAGGAGTAGAGAGGTTTATACTTTTCTTCCTACGTAGGGTTGGATCTCTCTTAGCAGGCCAGAGCAATCTGAAACAGGCTTAGCTTTCTTAGCATGGCAGTCAAGACACTTCATGACATGTTTTCAATTTCCTTCTGCTACTACATTCCATAATTTAGATACATTAAATTTCACATTTTTCTTTGCACCTGCCTTCATTCTGTATCAAGTGCATTCTTTCCTGATATTCATGAAATGTTTCAGATGAGCTCTTACTATTTTATTTTTTGGCACAGGTATTGAACCCAAGAGCACTTAATCACTGAGCAACACCCCCAGCCCTTTTATATTTTATTTTGAGACATGTTCTTTCTAAGTTGCTTAGGGCTTTGTTAGGTTGCTGAGGCTGGCTTTCAATTTGTGAGCCTCCTGCAACAGCCTCCTCAGTCCTTGGGATTACAGGCATGTGCCAGTGCACCAGGCTTCTTACTAATTTATTATCTTTTAAGTTGCAATTTATCATTTTCCCTGAGCCTAACCCCTGGTCAGTTATTTCCTTTCTCCTCTGTGCTTGTTGTCTATTTCTTATCAGAATCTATGCTTCACTGATGCTGTTTAGTTTTTGATCTCTTCCACTGGAATGGGAACTAACTTTTTGTAGGCTTGGCTCCAAGTAATCCCTTTATGAACACTTAGTTGGATAATTGAATGATGGATGAATGGATGGGTGGTTCTAAACCTTGTCACATTTATAATTTAAAAAACATTTTAAAATAAACTTTATTGAGATATAACTTACATTTAAGAAGATATACCTATTTTAAATAGTTTGATGAATTTGATGGATGTTATCATTTGTGAAATCATCATCACTTCAAGATACAGAATATTTCTCTCTCTGTCTTTTTTTTAAGTTGTCAGTGGACTTTATTTATATGTGGTGCTGAGAATGAACCCAGTGCCTTACACATGCTAGGCAAGTCTCTACCACTGAGCCACAACCTCAGCCTAAGATACAGAATATTTCTGTCATCTCAGAACATTGCATTATGTTCTTTCCCAGTTAGGTCCTGGCTCCAGCCAACCATTGATCTGCTTTCTATCACTATACATATGTCTTTTCAGGGTTTCATATAAAGAGACTCATACAGTGTGTACTCCTTTCATATTTAGAATGTTATGGGCAAGAGAGATGTTAAACTCAGAAACGTGTTAAATGTTATGGTCACATATGATCATAACAATAAGTACAAGCAATGTTTGACATTTTGGAATCATAATTTACTTTTCTCTTTCCACAGTATACAATTGGACCGTGGATGAGGTGGTACAGTGGCTGATTACATATGTGGAACTGCCTCAGTATGAGGAGACCTTCCGGAAGCTGCAGCTCAGTGGCCATGCTATGCCAAGGTCAGGAGGGGAGTACTGGTTTTTTCTTACCTGAGAGCATAAGGAATGGGCTGGAAGTGAGTCTGCCTTCAGGTTGTTCTGGCCAGTTAAGTGAGGTTTTAGCCTTTTGGGGGCAGAGTCTATAGACAACTCCTCTTACGTCTGTTGTGCACTTGTTATAAAGCACGATAGACACTTTGCATATATTCACATTAGTCTTGGAATAGTACTAATAGCTGCCAGTTATTGAGTGCTTAGTACATGCCAGGCATTCTTCTCAACACATTATATACAGTATCTCATTGGATTGTTACATAAATCTTGTAAAGATGGATATTATAGTATATAGCTGATGATACTGATTAAGTAACTTTTCCAAGGTCACAAATATGACTAGTTAGGGGCAAAACTATGATTTGTCTGTGGTGTTTCTTTTTACTTTTCTTGTTCTCCCAGCAGCTACCCTTTGATCACCCAGGAGCCTCAGGACTCTTTTAGCCTCCCCTGGGTTATCCACATACAATTTATTTGCTTTGACAAAAATGGTACAGAGATTGGGGCCAACTGCCATTGGTTCTCTCGTCATTGGAATGACTTCTCCAATAGCTGTTGTGTTATAACTTTTTGCCTTTTTTTTATAGGCAAAACATGCGAGGGCTTGAAGTGGGAGTGGGAAGGGATGGAGCACTACTTGGACTTCTTATTATGTCAAACTAGTCATTTAGTCATTAATCCATTTACTTATTCATTCAGTAAATATTTACTGGGTACCAGCTTTGTGCCAAGCACTTGTGCTGGGTGCTGGGGATAAAGATGACAACAACCTGCCCTTGCAGGGCTTACCCTCTGGTAAGTGCTCGTTATGTATAATCTGTCTTTTTATTATGTAAGTACATCTGATTATGAGCTTCAGCACAAGGGGAAGGGGAAGGTAAAGCTGTTGTAATGCACACACATTGCTTTCTTCAGCCATAGAGTTACCAGACACTGCTGATCAGGCCTAGCTAAGCTAGCTTACCTCCTCTGCTTCCTGCAGCCTCCTCCTCACAGCTTTTTCTTACTCTCCAGAGTAATGTTTGTACTTTTCTTTATAATAGAGCACTCTACTAGTGTGCATCTCTGCACCTACCTATTACTTCTAGTTCTCACAATTCTGGAAGGAAGGAATTACTATTCCATCTTTTGGGTGAGCAAATTGAATTTTGATATTTTATAATTTGTCAGGCTGGTAAGGGACAGAGCTAGGATTTGAGCCCAAGTCTGCCTTATTCTAAGTACCCTGGTTTTTTCACTTCATCTTCCTCTTGTGCTGTGTGGTTGAAGATAGGCTTATTTGTAATATTCAATTTAGTTCTATTAACAAAACTTCATTAAGCACCTACAACATGCCATGCTTTCTGCTAGGCCTTGAGGACTAAGGTGTAATAGACCTGACCCCTATCTTGGGGAACTCCATGTCCATTGAAAAAGGAAGACAAATGAATAGATGATTGACCATAAAGTTCTAAGATGTAGATTTCTTTTTTGCCACTCATGGAAACAGCACTATTGCCATGTGGATTCTTGGATTATTTCATTAGAAGTAATGGCTATAGTTTGAATTTAAAAACTTCAAAGCATAGAATAAAAAGTCAGTTCTCAGATTATGAATCTATTTAGTCCTCTTGGGACTAGGATTAGAGCCAAGACCAGGTCCAGCCAGGATGGGCACAGGAGTAGAAGATGGCAAACTGTGGTGCCTTCAGTGAATGAGGTGGAGCAGTAGTTCTAGGGCCATCACCAGCTAATATGGTATAAAGGGAAGAATCTAGCAGATCTGAATTCGCTCCCTGACTTTGCCAGTTACTTATATGTGATTTTGGGCAAGTTACTCAACTCTTTTAGTTTTCTTATCCACAAAATGGAGCTAATAATAGAACTGATTCCCTCCCTCCCTTCCTTCCTTCCTTCCTTCCTCCCTTCCTTCCCTCCTTTTTGGTATCACAGGTTGAACCCAGGGGCATATCCCCAGCCCTTTTTTTTTTTTTGTATTTTATTTAGAAACAGGGTCTCACTAGGTTGTTTAGGGCCTTGACAAATTGCTGAGGCTGGCTTTGAGCTCTTTATTCTCCTGCCTTCCAAGTTGCTGGGATTACAGGTGTGCATCTCTGCGCCCAGCTAGAACTGATTTCTTAAGGTTGTTGGAGGACTGATTGAGGAAATATATATAAAATGCCAGAATAATACAAGATACACAGTAATTGCTTGGTAAATGCTGGCTCCTTTTTCTTTTCCATTGTTTAGAAGTAGAGAACATGCCAGTTCTTAGGTATCCTTGGGAAATAGACTGTAGAAAATATGGTAATGTTTATTTTGCTTAGTCAGATACTAAGTCCATCACACCTGGCAGAAATGATTCAAAGAGGAGCCTTAAGAACTTCCAGGCTTGTAAGAAGCATCTGATTTTACATAAGTTTACAAAGAAGGAAACTGAGGTCCTAGAGGAGAGACCTAGCAGACAAGTGAATCACTGGTAGAACTGGGACTAGAAGCCAGATCTCCTGATGCCCTGATCACAGTGCATCACTGCCTTTCTTGTAGGTGGGCTTGATTACTTTCCAAGATCAGAAGAGGAAGTAGCTTGCTCCTGAATGCTAAGACAGGAGTATAAACCACTTACTGTGAAGTCAGAAGTTTTTCTTCTGTCTGGGGAAATAAAGCCATGTATCAGATAAAGGCCCCACTTACAGAGAGTATCTTTGAGTCAGAGAACTGACTGCTACTTTTTGCCTTAACAGGCTAGCTTAACCAATACCACCAAGACAGTAGTATAGTATTAAATGTTCATCTTATGACCTAGATGACTTAGACTCCTTCCTCCTATACCTACTGTGTTCCAACCGAGAAAAACGAAGTCCAGTTTTTTAAAAATTTTTAAATATATATTTTTTACTTGTAGATGTACATAATACCTCTATTTTATTTATTTTATTTTTATGTGGTGCTGAGCATCGAATCCAGTGCCTCACATGTGGTAGGCAAGTACTCTACCACTGAGCCACAACCCCAGTCCTAGTCCATTTTTCCCCCCTAGGCTATTTTCTTTTTTACAGACTCTTTCTTATTAAAGTTATCATTGACAATGTGGTCGAAGGTCATAAAAATTACAGAAATCTGATCAGAAGTAAATTGTATTGCAATGACTCAAATACATGCCAATAAGACTAACTCAAATTCTGTCATCATCAGGTTTACATATGATGACAGTTGGTTAGGATTAGTATAATTCAGAAGTCCCTCTAATCCACTGGGTCATGCAGTGTGGCATTTTGACCTGGGCTGGACAGGAGAATGCATTTATAAGAGGTAGGAAGTGGGGCAGATTATATAGAGGTTAATTCCTGGAAGGAGAAACAACAAAAAATTTATAAAGTTTATAAATTTATAAAATTTCACACCTGTGAAAATTTTAATGGGTAACCCTTAGAGGGTGGGTTACTTATGAGATGGTGGATATGGGGAGAGGGTGAACAAATTCCTAGTGAATGTTTTTTATCCCTCCGTACTCCTTGCTGAGACCCTGCTGATATAACTCTGTGTCCTAGAATGCAGAGGGAGCAATCACCAAGAGCTTAAAGTGTTCCTGGAGGAGGTGGGTAATCTTTCTGGATCCTTCCTGCCTTTGTTGTCAGGGAACTAACCCATTAATTTTTGCCTCAACAGGCTTGCTGTAACCAATACCACCATGACAGGAACTGTGCTGAAGATGACAGATCGGAGCCATCGGCAGAAGCTGCAGCTGAAGGCCCTGGACACAGTGCTCTTTGGGCCTCCTCTCTGTGAGTCTTGTGTAGAGAAGGGCTGCTGCTGTGCCATGGAACCCAAATCTGACAGAGTAGCTAGGTTGAGGTCCTGGGCCTCCTGGGCACACTTCTAATGCAGCATCTTCACTATTTTCATTGATATTGAGATATGAAACAGTTTTGTATTTTAGTCTAGCCAGATATCAACCTCCATTTATTACATATTTTAGATTTCTGCTTTGTTCCAGTGCTGTGCTGGACTCTGTAGGATGACCTGGTTGAATCATTTTCTGCCCTGAAGGGATAAAATGAGACTTCTAGGACATGATATAGTTCAGTGGTCGAGCATGTGCCTAGCATGTGTGAAGCCCTTGCACCTGAAAGAAAGAAAAGAAAGAGTATTCTAATATTCAGAAAAATCATGCTTCTGAGGCCCAGAGGAGTGGTATAGAAGGTATCCCATGGAAGAGGAAGTGTGTAAGCTTTATTCCATGGATGTGACAGAAGAGGACATTCTAGATGGAGAAAATAACCTGAGCAAGAGTTATTTACAAAAGATAAAATATAAAAGGTATGATCAGGGATAGCAACACATAATGGGCTAAATGTCATTTAGCTGTTATATTGAGATATGTACATGTGCAGAGTGAAGAAGCTGATTACTGAACATTTTTGCATCCTTGAATGACCAAGGAACACTAAATGAGCTTTCACTGAAGCAGTAGAGACATGCTTTAGATCTAAGAAAGGGTTGTCTCTTCAGCCAGGGGCTGAGAACATTATGTAGTTCAGTCCCTGGAGATCTGTGTGGTGGGAATGGCCAACCCTGCCATAATTTTTCTTATTTTATGAACCAAATGAGAATAGAAGTAGTGAGATTTTTTAGGAAATTAGCATTGGCCACGTAGATTCATAGAGCCCACCCCCTGCCCTTTGAAAGGTGCCCTCATTAGTTGAGGATACAGCAGCAGAATGCTGTAGAACCAGAACCCAGTCTAAAGAAGCATCTGGCTGAAAGGGTCAGAGACAGTACAACATTTCTTTTTCCATGTATGTGGCTTGGCAGTTGCCTAAGCTGATCTGTCAGTACAGGTGCATCTGTACTTTTTGAAAATATAAGACAGAGCTATGTGGGAGAAAACTGTTTCCACTCTCTTTTCTGCCTAATTATTTTTTTTAAGTGGGGGTTCTAGGACACATTTTACTTACTACTTATAGATAATAAATGATAAGTGAATGGTTCTATTCTTTATGTGAGGCATACCCTCTGTAATAAGCAATAGCTTTTCATTCATTCAGCAACCTTTGTTGAGTACTCATTGTTTATCAGTATAAATGACAGGGTTCCTTGTTATACAGGTTCCAGCAGCAGTTCCATCTAAATGGAGATAGGCTTTTCAACGGATAGAGTAAATGGTCGACAAATGTAGTAAATGTTAAAGCTATTATGTCAGTCTTTCTAGAATTCAGCTAAGAGTACAAAATGGGGAAGAGCTTCCTGTTGGAGTCCAGGAAGCTTTATGGGGTATGTAATTCTTTTTTTTTTTTAATATTTATGTTTTTTAGTTGTAGTTGGACATAAACCAGGGATCAAACCCAGGGCCCCACGCATGCTAGGTGAGCGCTCTACTGCTGAGCCACAATCCTAGCCCCTAGGGAATGTAATTCTTGAGCTGAGTCTTGAAAGGTGGGAAGTGGCCTTATTAAACTCTAACCATTAACAGTGTACACTCCTCTTTGTATGTACACTAGCAAGAACACTTTTACCAGAAGGGTATAATTATTCCTTAGTCTTTTAAGATATAGTATCAGGCTGTTATATGTTCTATATCAAAGTGGAATTTTATGCTTTAAAGATTTAAAGGGTACATCAGAAACTGCGGGTTACAGAAGGCAAGGTTTCAATCTGGAAAGATGAGCTAGCATGGGAACCAGGATCTTGGATCCATGGTACAGGGTCCAGGAGATCAGAGTCAGCAAGAGGGACCCCAGTGGAGCAGGTTACACTGATAAGTAGCGTGTAATATTTTTATCCTAGGCTCATTTCATATATCCTATGTGCTGTGTATGAGCTAACCTAAGGGAGTTCAGAAATCAGCAGGAAAATTATTCCTTAAATAAGCAGAACAGAGGTACTAAAGCTAAGAATAGACTTCATACTAGCTGGGATAGCTATTATGATAACCATAATAATGTAGTTGTTTTTTTTTAAATAAGGCAAATAACAAGTGTTGGTGAGAATATGAGAAATAGAAACTTAATTTCTCGTAAGAATGTAAGATGGTTCAGTTACTGTGAAAAACAGTCTAGTGGTTTCTAAAAAATTAAACATGGAATTACCATATAACCCAGCAATTGCATGCCTAGATATATTAGCCAAACAATTGAAAGAGATAGTCAAACAAGTATATGTATGCATGTGTTCATAGCAGCATTAGTCACAAGAGCCAAAAGATGTAAACAGCTCAAATGACCATTAGCAGATGAGTGGATCAATACAATTGTTACATACATGCAATGGAGTATTATTCAGTCATAAAATGGAGTGAAGTTATATATGCTGCAGTATAGAGAAACCTGAAAAACATTATGCTAAGTAAAAGAAGCTGACAAAAGATCATGTATGTTTCCATTTATTTGAAATACCCACCATAGATAAAGCCATAGACATAAACTCAGCTTGATAGTTGACAGGGGCTGGAGAGAGAGGAGAATAGGGAGAAACTGCTTAATGGATAAGAAATTTTACTTTGGAGAATAGAAATGTTTTAGAACTAGACATCATGTATGTACTCTATGTCATTGAATTGTTCACTTTAAAATGGTTAATTTTGTATTATATGAACATTGCCTCAATAAATAATAATAATTAGCATTATTATTATTTTGGTACCATGGATTGAACCCAGGGGCATTCAACCACTGAGCCACATCCCCAGCCCTATTTTGTTTTTTATTTTGAGGCAGGGTCTAGCTAAGTTGCTTACGGCCTTGTTAAGTTGCTGAGGCTGGCTTTGAACTTGAGATCCTCCTGCCTCAGCCTCCCAAGCTGCTGGGATTACAGGTATGCACCACTGCGCCTGGCTAATAAATTATTATTATCATTATTTTATTTTACTGGTTCTTTTTAGTTATATGTGATAGTAGAATCAATCCATTTTGATATAATTATACAAGCATGAAATATATCTTATTCTAACTAGCACCCCATTCTTGTGGATATACATGATGGTGGGATTCACTGTGATGTATTCATATATGTAAATAGGAAAATTATGTCAGATTCATTCCATTGTCTTTTCTATTCCTATCTCTCCTCCCTTTCCTTAATTCTCCTTTTTCTAACCTATTAAACTTTTCTTTTTGCCCTACCCCCTTTATTGTGATTTAGCTTCTACATATTAGCAAAAACATTTGAGTTTTTGGGATTGGCTTATTTCACTTAGCATGGTAGTCTCCAGATCCATCATTTACTGGCAAATGTCATAAAGTCATTCTTTTTAATGGCTGAGTAATTCTTCATTGTATACCATATTTTCTTTATCCATTTATCTGTTGAAGGGTACCTAGCTTGGTTCTATAGCTTAGCTATTGTAAATTGTGCTGCTATAAACATTGATGTGGCTGTGTCACTGTAATATGCTGATTTTGGATACTCTTTTGGATGTATACAAATGGATGTATAATAAATGATGTAAATGATAGCTGGGTCAAATGATGGTTCTATTCCTAGTTGTTTCGAGGAATCTCCATACTGCTTTTTATAGTGGTTGTACCAGTTTGCAATCCCACCAATAATATATGAGTGAACCCTTTTCCCTACATCCTCACCAACATTTATTATGACTTGTATTCATGATAATTGCCATTCTGACTGTAGTGAGGTGAAATCTCAGTGTAGTTTTAATTTGCATTTCTCTAATTGCTAGAGATGTTGAACATTTTTTCATAGATTTGTTGACTGATCGTATTTCTTCTTCTATGAAGTGTCTGTTCAGTTCCTTTGCTCATTTATTGATTGGTGTTTTTTTTTTAAATTTTAAGTTTTTTGAGTTCTTTATATTCTGGAAATTTATGCCCTATCTGAGGTGCAGGTGGCTAAGATTTTTCTCCCAATAAATTATTTTTTAACAACCCAAACAACAAAAGAAAGAATATATTGAGCAATATATTGAAGATGCAAATATATGCATCTTCAATATTTATAAACCCTGGACTTCCATTCAGAGAATTTTTATATTGAGCTTCATCATAATTTAAAAGTTTTACACTTCAAGAAGTGAAAAGACAATTCACAGAATAGAGAAAGTGTTTGCAAACATTATATTTCAAAAATGATAACAAATATATGCATCTTCAATATTTATAAATCCTGGACTTCCACTCAGAGAACTTCTTTATAAATTTTAGGAAAGAACCTTGAAATGATAGGAGATTTTTTCAAAATTGCCACTTACGGGGCTGAGGCTGTAACTTAGTGGTAGAGCACTTGCCTAGCACCTGTGAAGCCCTGGGTTCAATCTTTAGCCCTAAATAAAAACAAATAAAACAAAGGTATTGTGTCCATCTACAACTATGAAAAAAAAAATTTTAAACTGCCACTTGCTGTGTAACCTTGGGTAGATTACTTTTTCCAGGGTTTATTTTCTGATGTGTATCATGAGATAGATCATTAGTCTAAAGGTCCTTGTGGTTTCTTTTAGCTATGACTTTGCACGATTTTTGGGCGAAACCCCTTGATTGGGTTCTGTATAAAAGACAGGAGATCTGTTCCTTCCTTCTGTCAACATCCTGTACTTTTGGGAATTCTGTGCTTGGCCACTGCCTTGTCAGGTGGTCTTTGGCAATTCAGTTTTGCCTAGATTCAGGTTACCTGATCTGTAAAATGGGCCTGCTAATTTAAAAACTCTTACTAGTTATTATTCTAGGGTTCTGAGAGCTGGGCATATTTCTGTAAGCTAAGATTGTGGAATCCAACAGCTGTCCTGATGGCAAATATTGTCTTTATATTTTTCTAGTTATACTTGTTAAAGGAA